TGTGAGCTGCCTCCATGTGGAGCTGTTAGCCAATCACAGCAGCAGCTGTAAAATATCGCATTCTAGCAGATAACCAAACTCTCACCAAATCTAAACTCAACATTACATAAATCTGTGTCAAAAACAGATTTTCTTTTGTTTTTATAACACCTAGATTGTATGATAGATAAAAGCGGTCAGGCGACCTTGTAGAGCTCCTCATAGGTTTCCTCATCGATCTCCACCGTGGTCACCGTCTCCTCCACATCACCCAGGATCATGTTCAGGTGCTGATCGTACGCCTGACAGATAAATAATGAAACAGGTCAGTGACGACAGAGGGCTGACAGAAACAGCAAGAGGCTGCGGCTCACATGCAGGCGGCCCCGGAGCTCCCGATCGTTCCTCATCTTCACATAGATCCGCTCGTCTAAGCTGAGCCTGATCAGGTCAAGTGGTTCTTCAACAGTGTTGGTAGTCGGTGGCTGAAAATTAAAGGAGAGTAGGTCAGTGGGGGCGGGGCTTCATATGACATCACTCAGACCTGCTTCCCTTACATTCTGATCTTAGATCATCCTGGAAGGAAAACTGCAGCAAATTATTCCTAAACTCAAATTTATAGGGAGCGTTTCCCTAGAGGTTACAGCAGTCTGCTTGTGCTCTCAGAAGGTTGCTAGTACCAGGTTCAATCCCAACAGCCTCCAATCAGTGCCCCTGCGCTGAACCCTTAACCCCTGATTGCTCCCCGGGCGCCACACAATGGCAGCCCACTGCTCCCCGAGGGGAGGGGTTAAAATGCTGCGATACATTTCTCCAACGTGAGATCAATAAAGTTCAATTATTATAATTATTAAGACTCTGAAGTTCGGGTCTAGGTTTGATTTCTAACCCCATTTCTCATCTATAGGCTGCTAATAGCCAATTTATTGATAAATAAACCTGATTTAAACTAATTAGCTTCAAAAAATGTGCTGCAGCTGAATTTTTGTGTTTAAAGGTAACTTTTATTAACAATAAGGACATAATAAAAACAAAACCAGAGCTCAAAACCTGGTTAATAAATTTACCGTGAAGATAAACCAAGATTCGATCAAAATGTCCCTAAATGTTTCCCGTAGTTTAGCCACATTACTGCTATCAGCTAACTAATTATGAAGAACTGGAGGAGTTTTAGATGATTTTATCAGGTTATTTACTTCTAGTAGAGTAACTGTTTATTCGGAGGGAAACTAGCAACAAAAGCAGCGAATTAAAGACTTTTCTTTATGATGATAGCCGCATTTTTTACCGGCACGGCTAACTGCTTCCATAAACCAATCTGGATTATAATCCATCATTAAACATGAATAATAATAAACAATGGTTCAAATGAAGAATCTAATTTGAGTGAATCTATCAGTGAATTTTAAAACCGAAAGAGCAAACTAACAAAACCAGCTAGATTTAGCACAGCTGCACAGACCTGCTCCACTTCGTCCGCCATGTTTCTTTGAAATGACGTCTGTGACGTAGCGCGGTACGGAAGCTGCCAGGTCCGTCAAATATCCGCGTTTGGAAACAACTAAAAACACCTGCTCCGTTTACCAAAAAACAGCCTTTATTGACATTAGAGCTTTTTTTTAGTATAAAAAATGATGCAACACAAGAACAAATATTGAAAATAAAATAATCTGATTTCACTTTTCAAAATTCATCACAGATTTAGCTGTTTCTTTTTTTTTTCCAGTTTAAACCTTTTAGTCGTTGGATCTAATAATAAGCTAAACTCTGATAAAACTCTGCTGTAGTTTCCATTTAATGTTGGGCTACTTTCAGCTGCAGATGTTTTTATTTCATTAGATTAAACAGCTTTATTCTGCCTATCGGCTTCCCTACCGGAGAACAAACAGCTCCAACCTGGCAACCCGCTGGAGGAGAATAAACCTTTGATCCTGCAGCCGCTCATTCCTTCCAGCTCTTTCCATGAGCATCACATCCCGGAGAGGTAAGAATTTAACTGGAAATCCTTGTATTATTTTTACTATTATTTTTCTAAAATCTACTTTAAGTGATGATCGTTTGTAAAAAGTAAAAAATAAAAAAGAACCGTTTCTGTACAAAAATATCTTGAAGATGCAGTTCAAAATTTAACTAATTTCTTTTATTTTTTTCTTATATATTCAGCAGAGTTTTTTTGAACATGAACCAGTTTTATTTTATTTGCTTTTTAAAGTGTTTTTATATATATTTCCCTTTATTTGAATCCTTAGTTCTCTCTCATTCTCTGCCATGCTGGTGGAGAATGAGAGCCTCCTGCGTCCCAAACAGGGGCGGAGCTAGATGGGGGGCTTTGAATATTCAAAACATTTAAAGAATATTCAAA